CTTAATGAGGAAGTCAGCAATTTTTCTCCTGTTCACAGCACAAGGAAAAGGCTGGTTTTTAAGGGGCTTTGACAATTCAGAGAAAAGAGATCAATAATAGGAATCTCCTATTATCTATCTGAGAGCAGCCAGAACACTGTCTTTCCTCGTGATGGAGAAGTGTGTAGAAAAGTGGGAAATGGCAGGACAAAGGAAAAGAAGGAAGAAATAATATGAGTGAGGTATTGGTAACTAACTAGGCAAGCAATAAGTTAAAAAAAAGAAAGAAATCAAAAGAACAGAAAAAGAAACCCCCTGAATCCATAATGTGGTGGCTCATACCTAATTTTACCTTTGCTACAAATTGCTCTGACTTTTAAATTAAGCAGTGAGAGACTTCTTGTCTAGTTGTTCTAGGAGCTAGTCTGATCTCGTGGTTTGAAGGCACACAAACATCTTCTTGATGTTAATCAGGCATGGACAAGTACCTGGATGAACAGTCCTAGAGAGATGGCCAGGTGAGCAATTATCAGTTTCATGTTAGAAGCTAAGATACAGAATGAACTTAAAGCTGATTTCAAACAATTTCTTTCCCGTGACATGACTTCATACTTCAGTCTTTCTCGTCGAGTTCAGTAAATGCCTCAGTTGAAGAACTGATACATGAATAGGCTTAGCTTTTCAATGAGAAGCGACAGGGCAGCATTACAGTCCAAAAATGGGAGAGCCTGGAGACACTGCACATGCTCAGAGATACCTTCCTTCCTAGTTTAGGCGAACTATTTAAGACATTATATAACGGATGTAACGTAATATAAAGCAGCGTAACGGAGTGAGCTCCCATTACTTGTCCCAGCTTCTGCAACCTAGCAGTTCGAAAGCATGTAAAAATGCAAGTAGAAAAACAGGAACCACCTTTGGTGGGAAGGTTAACAGAATTCCATGCGCCTTCGACATTTAGTCATGCCGGCCACATGACCATGGAGACGTTTTCAGACAGCGCTGGCTCTTCGGTTTAGAAACGGAGATGAGCACCGTCCCCTAGAGCCGGGAACAACTAGCACATATGTGCGAGGGGAACCTTTACATTTACCTTTTATAAAGGACACACCAGCATCAAAAGTGATTTCCTTATTTGCTGGGTTAAAAAGTCTGTGAAAGCCTAGATTCAGCCACCCTACTTTCAAAGTTATTTCTTATTGTTTAGTGGTGTGAGTAAACCAAGTAGTTTTGGCTTGTTGGGCATATAGTTCAACAAGTGAAGGTTACATTCAAAGCCAGACACCACCTAGCAGGCAACTCATGGAAAAATGCTGTCAACAATTGTCAAGAAGCTATGCAACTCTTTCAAACTCACAGGCAGGAACTTGTTTTTAAAAAAGGAAGAATCTGAGGCCTGTTGGAAGGCTGCCAGTTCAGCCAATGCTTACTAAGCATGTTTCAATAGCCTGCTAAAGCAGGCCACGAGATCATCCCATTCCAGGCCCAATAATGGCTAACTTTTAAACTGATTACTGGATTTTGACATTAATGATGCACCTTGAAGCAATCAGTATTTATTTGATTTAATCAATGTTAGCTACCTCGATTGCTGAAGCAGCTCAAAATGCTTTTTTTTTAACAAAGGAAAATAATAATTTAAAATAGACTCAACAAAGACTACAAGAAGCAAATAAAAACCACTTTTTAAACCACTGTGGGAAAACAGGAATACAAACATACACCATAAGGAACGTAGATCTTCCAATCTTACTGCCTGTTAAAAAAAAGCCAAGACTTCACCATGTTTCTAAAAGGATAACTGCATTAGTCACAAAGAGAGGACCTCTCCAGGATCCCCTTCCCCAAACACCATTGCTTTTCTGTTGAGAGCCAGATCATGCCAACTGTGTTAGGAGGGAGTTGAATGCTTCTTTGCTGTGCATCTCTCAATCCTTTTTAATAGTTATAAAAGATTATCTGAACCGGAAAACTAAATGCTGGCAGAGTCTCTCTAACCACTGGAGCCTTTACTGACCCAACTGGAAACATCCAAGTCCTGTGGGAGGATGTGAAGTGAGACCATTTAACCCTACTTCTGGTTTCCAACAAGTCAGTCAGGGAGTTTCTCAAACCTATCTGATTGGCCTCTGTTTACAGGTAATGTATTATGTTGCCACTCTTCTGGCACCCTTAAAAACCATGCCAAATTTAACTGAACGCTTTCATCCCACAAACCCCAAATGAATTTAAATAAAAACAAGCTCCTATAGAAAAAGTGTGTGTGTGTAATCTGAATAATAAAAGCAATATTGATTTTTTCCCCCAAGCATCCCTGCAACATCTCTTTATGGTTATCACAAGCTAGGTAGGGATTTACAAGAGTCTATCACAAAGAAACAGAAGATTTACACATATGCCCGTCCCTTGTATCATCTTTGCTACTAACTTAATGCATGCCTATATAATCCACTTTAAAGGCAGCCTAGTTGGCGGTTTTGGTTCTTGCACCCATTCTGCTGGGTGTAAGGACCAAACTGCTCTGCTGGTGATTTACATTCATCTTGAATGGTGGATCCTTGGGAACTGAATTTGGGGTCAACCATAAAAGACTAGCTTTCTTAACCTCTCAGCACACTGGGTCACATCTGCACCAAGATGCCCCGATGGGGATGAGCCAGTGGAAATGGAGCATGGGTTGTCACGATGCCATGGTGGGAAGGGTATGATATGTTTTTATGTCATTGTTTATTGACTTTGTGGTGAGTCACCTAGGATTAGCGTGTAAGATAGGCTGCTATAGACGCCTTTCAAATCAATAAACTGCCTTCCATTTAATCCTCTAAGGCAGTGGGTCTCAACCTTCCTAATGCTGCAACCTTTTAATATAGTTCCTCATGTTGTGGTGACCCCCAACCATAAAATTATTTTGTTTTTTGTAATTTTTCAAAAATATGTGTTTTCCGATAGTCTTAGGCGACTCCTGTGAAAGGGTCATTCGACCCCCAAAGGGGTCGTGACCCACAGGTTGAGAACCACTGCTCTAAGGCATTTTTGTAATAGAATATTAAGAATGTAGGCATATTATAGAATTATGATCGTTAACTAAATAGCTTATTTTATTACAACTGAGAAGATAGAGCAATAGATGGCCTATATATCTAGATTTAATACAATATTTAAAAAATGAGCCGGTGTTAACATTTTAGACACATTCTTTTAGCTTCTACAAATGCTACTGCTCCCTTATTAATATTCTTATTCAGATTTTACTGTATTTTTGGTTCAATGTCTCATATCTTCTGGTTGATATACTTATGGAAAAATATATGCAATAATAATAATAAGCCATTTCACAGCAATGAAGCAAAAAAAGCAAACAGCCCTTTATTACACTCTATGACAGCCAGAATGCAATGTTGGTTACGGTGCTGGAAATCTGTCTTCTAAGATTAGAAACTCAGAGGCAGATTGTAGGCCAGTCCCTCTCTAAGCCCAACAGACCTCCCTCATAGGGTTGTTGTGGCAGGAAACAAGGGAGATAAGCTGCCACCAACTCCTGACAGAAAAGCCAGGCAATGCAGTGTATAGAAGCAGTGCATAGAAATCAATAAGAGATAGACTTAACAGTCTCGTTTCTCAACCTCAGCCCAGATGTCCAAAAGGCTATATTTGACATGTTAGGGACTATATATTTGCATTATTGCAAAGACTTCCATCAAGTTGGACGGGACAATTCTGGGAGTTGCAATCTACCCATCTAGGAAAGGCAGAAGTTGAGAAGGGCTCCATCGGAGGAAGGGGCTCTGCAACAGTTCAGGGGACCTTCCAGCTACTGCCCTCCCCACCAACCAAGAGGTGACACCCGCTTTTTGTGAGGATAGATGAGACAGACAAAGGGAGAGGGAAGATAGTTTATACTTTCCTAATCTTTCTTATTTTGTTCTACTTCTCTTAACCCTATCCTACTCTGAGTGGGAGGTGAGCACCTTCACAAGGCCACCATGCTACTCAGATATACTCTGTATAATATATATAGATGATATATATGGATGGACTTTATTGTCACTTTAAATGTACACTAATCGGCATCCATTAAAATGAAATGTCATTGCCTACAGCTCTCAAAGGGCCACAACTCCCATACATACTATATAAGCATGACAAAATAAGTAATAAATAAAAATAAGAAAAGAGAATAAGAATAGAGGAAGAAGAGAATGAGAACAGAAGAGATGGAATGGAATAACTTTATTGTCACTTTGAATGTACATTAATACATTAAAATGAAATAATGTAATGAGCTGTTGCCCACAGTCTCAAAGGGTAACCATCTCCCATATATACTAGGTAAGCATGATAAAATAAGTAATAAGTAAAAATAAGAAAAGAGAAGAAAAGAGAATAAGAATAGAGGAAGAAGAGAATGAGAATGAAGAAGAGAAGAGAAAGAGAAGAGAATGAACAGAAAAAAGAGAAGGAAGAGAAGAGAAGAAGGAATGGAATAATAGCTTTCTTGTCACTCTGAATGTACCCTAATCGTCATATATTAAAATGAAATTTCGTTGCCTACAGCTCTCAAAGGGTCACCACCTCCCATATATACTATATAAGCATGACAAAATAAGTAATAATTAAAAATAAGAAATAAGAGAAGGGAATGAAGAAGAGAAGAGAAAGAAGTGGACGAGAAGGGAATGAACAGAAAAAAGAGAAGGAAGAGAAGAGAATGAAGAAGGGAAGAGAAGAAGGGATGGAATAACTACTTTCTGGTCACTCTGAATGTACCCTAACCGGCATATATTAAAATGAAATTTCGTTGCCTGGAGCCCTCAAAGGGCCACCATCTGACCCATCTGACCACCGCACACAAGGCTACACCAATGCACAATCAGGAGGCAAAGCCCAAAGACCTCCAAGCACCCAGAGAACCAGCCACCTCCTAGGGAAAACAGGCCAGCCCCCCTCCCACCTAGAAGCGGCAACGGCAACAACCGAGAGGCTCCGCTTCTCCTCCCCGTCGGGCCCGGGGCTCCGCTCACCGCACGTAGGGGCTGGCGGCGGCCAAGATGTTGGTCTGCACGGGTATCTCCTGACCGTCCAGCACCAGGTTGGCATCGCAGAAGCGGCCCTCCTGCCGGAACGAACTCAGCGCCCGCAGCAGCCGCGCCGCGTGCTGCGGGTCGGAGACGGAGCTGCCCGGCGCCCCGCTCGACATGGCCGCTTCGCCGCTGCTCTCCACCCGCCGCCGGCTGCGCTTCGCCTCCTTCCACTCGCCCTCACCGCCGGCCGGGAACCGCCATCCTGCCGCGCCGCACCGTTGATGCCTGACCTCATCTCCGCGCGACTGACACGCCCATGCGGAGGCGGGGCCGGCGAGGGTGGTACCGCCCCCCCCCGAGGGGTGGGGCGCTCCCCTCCTCCCCTCGCGGGGGCGGGGCTCTCCCCGCGCCTAGCACGTGCTGCAATTAAAAAAAAAAAAAAAAGCGGGAGCCAGCCGCCTTCCCCGACTACAATGCCCCTCGTTCCCAGCCGGGAAGTGAAAGGCGCGAGGCTGGCCTGGCTTTTCCGCCTTTCAATGTTGTTTATAATGGAAAGGCCTGGCTTTCTGGACATATTCAGAAAGAGGGCAGGTGTGTTTCCAGCCCAGCCAATCGGATGTGTGGGACTACACTTCCCAGGCTTGCAAAAATTGGGTCTCTGGGGTTATGGATTACTTCCTCTTTGTGGATGCCCAATTTAGGGAACATTGACAGTGTGCAAACATAGAACATAGAAAAATAGAGTTGGATGGGACCTTGGAGGTCTTCTAGTCCAACCCCCTGCTCAAGCAGGAGACCCTACACCATTTCAGATAAATGGTTCTTTTTGAAAGTCTCCAGTGATGGAGCACCCACAACTTCCAAAGGCAACTTCTGTTCCATTGGTTGATTGTTCTCACTTTCAGAAAGTGATGTTGTGTGTGCAAGACAGGTATGATAAATCACACCAAAGAATATGGCTTTTTCAGGCTAAAATGCCCAATTGTGGAATTTTGGGGGTGGTTCCTATTTTTCTACTTGCATTTTTTTACATGCTTTCAAACTGCTAGGTTGGCAGAAGCTGGGACAAGTAACAGGAGCTCACTCGGTTACGCGCGCTAGGGATTCGAACCTCTGAACTGCCGACCTGATTGACAAGCTCAGCGTCTTAGCCCCTGAGCCACCCGCGTCATAACCATAAACCCAAATTAAACCGTTGATGAGTTTTCAGAAGATGTTCCTCGTTTGGATTTATTCTAATATTTAGAACATTTAATCCAGTAGCAGCCTTGGATAGCACCGACGTTTGCAAATATCTCCACAAAAATCAAAGTGAGCCCCATTACAAAACGGGCACCAGGCCCAGAAACCTGTTATCGCTAAGTGTCACAAAAGTCTTTGGCAGCATAGTTGCACCAGACTATTGCAACAGACAATAATCAGCCTTTAAGATACTAAAGTTTCCAGATTTGCGTTCTTGAGAAGCGCCCAATATCCAGAATTGGGCAATTCTTTATTGGGGTCAAATTAGTTGGGTTTGGAGATTTCCAGATCCTTTCAATAGTCTTGTTTGGTGTGTTCAGTCACCTACTTGATGAAACCTCAAAGATGAATGACACCAAGCTGAGTCAGCTCCAATCTATTTAAGCCAATCTGTTCTCCTCTGGATAGCACAAATTTCCAATCTTTTATTGCTTTTTCTTTCGTCTTATTTGATGAAATTATAGAGAGATCCCAAACACACTTTGCTCATTATCATCTTCTTTTAATGACCTCATCATCCCTTGAGGAGTGGAATCAGGGCAACTGAATGGAGCTGAGATGGCCAGATGCCCTTCCTGTCACCAATGCAGAGTTTTGTTCAGCAGATATATTCTCATTGTGTCCAGAGAGAGAAATATCTGCCTCTACCTAGGATTGAATTCACAGCCTCCTGATTGTGAGGCGAGAGCTCTACTAGTAGGGCCACACACCATTCTTCCAAACACACTTTGTTTCCCCTAAGAAAAGTATTGGCTGGTCATGGATTTTTTTTTTAATGGAATAAACTTGGCTACAGTTTCTAATAATCTCCTCCAACAAAGCTCCTGTTGTATTCATTCATTAAATGTGTATGGCATCCATTTCACTAAGCCTGGGTGGTTTACAGTGCTATGATAACATAATAAAACAATTAAAAGATTAGAAACACTAAAGCATTGGGACCTTAATGTTAAAACATTAATAATAAAGCAGATAAAAAGAACCAATGCATAGGCAGGGTAGAGTTGGGATCTTCTGCAAACCAGCCCTCTGAAATGGGATTCCTCCAAACTAGTTGGGGTTAGTGGTATCCCATTCTTCCAACTTTCCATTTTATTCTCTATAATTTTAGTTTGATAAGGCTCTCTTCTTCTGGGGGAAGAAAAGCGGGTTTAGAAGTGAGTGGACAGAATGTCCTTGAATAAAACTGTCAACAATAAATCAATTGTTCTAAAATAAATGCAAAAGAAGACTGGCTATTTAAAAGAAGAAAAAAGAAAAGAAAGTGTAATAAAAAGAAAAAGCTATCCCTGAGTTGAGTTTGGTATTTATATGGACGGTGTGATTTTCTTGGCAATCTCGTGTAGGAAGTGAGCACCCACCCCTCTCCTAGGAAGATGAAATATTTTAGGAAATATTAAAAGGGCAGAATATTTCCCCTAAAAGGGAGGCAGAAACTTATCCACCCTCCCTTTGTCAATGGACCCTTAAGGCCTGAGCCAGTCTATTCTACATAACAAAGATCTATCCTCTTTAGCTCCAGGATGGTGGGATTAAGACGTGGCCCTCAGGACATGATAGGATTAGCCCTCTACCCATCTAGCAACTGATCTCACCATAAGGCACCTGGGAAGATTACATCATCCAGCAAGGCTCAACCAAGCTTGAGACGCGAACACAACCTACAGAGTTGCCCCTGCATGGCCCCATGGGAGTCTGACAACCAATCAGAATACAAGATCAAATTCAAAAGCCCAGAGAGGGCATAAAACCCAGGCACCTTCAGCATATCTTCCCTTTTCTCTTCTTCACCCAACATCTTCAGGACATGTGGTCCTGTCCACCATTAAAAACCATCTTTTCAAGCAGTCTCCATGTTTCCAGGGTCTGGATCTGAACCCAGATGGATATTTCTTCCAACACTCATGTCAGAAATGCAGAAAGGGGGAAAACGTTAATTTAAATTTTAAGAAATGAAATACTTTAATAAAAACATACATGTATATAGTTCTAGCCCAAAAGCTGGGCTATGTTGATGGCAGGGATATTTCCAATCATCACGTCGTGTGTGTGTGTGTGTGTGTGTGTGTGTGTGTGTGTGTGTGTGTGTGTGTGTGTCAGGAGACACTATAGAAGATGGACAGTTGGAATAGTGCCATATTTGCAATAAATATCCTTGTTACCTGGAAGAAGCCCCCATTTTTCCATGTGGTCTTTAGTTCGAGCCAAACCAGCACACAATCCATTCTTGGCAATAATATGATAATAGTTGGCCAGAACTTTCTTCTCCAGAAGATTTTTCGACTTCACATCTTGTTTACGCCCTGAGTTTGTCAATAGCCTCTCATAAAGGTGCAAGCATGTTTACCTTCCAAGCCCAAACAAAGCTGACATCATACATGTATTTATTTTATTAAACATGTTAGACTTTCCAACTCTAGATTGACTCCGGGTGGCATTTACAATAAAACCATTACTAAAACACAGAAGCTATCTGAAAACAATATATTGCATAGAATTCCATTGACCTTCAACCAGTGTTTTTTTCAAACATGGCAACTTGGAGATGTGTGTCTCCAGCCAGCTGTGTTTGAAAGTGTTTGGATCCCTGTTTGAAAATAAACATTAGTTTAACCTAAAGCTGGAGAGATGAGCCTAGTTTTCAGAATATAAACTGCTTCTAGACGGCTAAATCTTGAACAATTTTGAGAGATGGGAGAGTTGCCTTTTTTTTTTCTAGATTTATTTTTTCAATCCTACTTCCTCTACCTTAGGGGTTTATGGCTTTGGCTTAGGGCAGGGGTCGGCAACCTGTGGCTCCGGAGCGGCATGTGGCTCTTTCATCCCTCTGCTGCAGCTCCCTGTCACCAGTTGGTGCCACAATTTTGAGAGGAGCTTCTGGTTGGGGAGGGAGGGGAGAAGCAGGGCATGCCAGGAGGAGGCTCTATGGCAGGGGATGGGTTTTCCAGTCAACTCCACAATTGATAGGGCTTTCGGTTAGGACAGGTAGAGGAAAATGGACACCACACTAGGAGAAGACTCTATGGTGGGGGAACCGGACTTCCTGTTGGCTCCAGAATTGAACAGGGGCTTCTGGTTAGGACCTTTGTGGCTCTTTGAGCGGCCCCGTCTTAGGGCCTTTGTTTTGTTTTGTTTTGTTTTATGCGTATTATCTTAACTGACTGTCATGTTATACCTTCTGCATAAATTTGTGACCAGTCGTAAAGCTTTTACAAAACAAGAGTAATTCTAACAATGGTTTCTTTGCAAAACTTCTGCCATTTGGAGCCTTGCAGGAAATAATATTAGGACAAAAGCAACCTCGGAGGTGACAAAGTGTCTTGTGAGATTTGTGAAGCTAAAAGTACAAGGTCTGTTGATCAACACTATCTGAAAACATAGGCGTCTGTAGTGAATAGGGGAAAGTGTATTAGGTAGGCATGGAATAATTGCAGAGGACATGGATTATGCAAACGCTGTCAATCATCACACAATCTGCATGATGATATCATGTCACACGTGACTTTATCTTGGCTTCTCTGCCCAGAAGCAAGACTCTGTATTCTTCCTTCGCTGTGTTATTAGTTTTTATTTGAGGTACCTTCTCGTGAATCTCGAATTACGAGGGAACGTCTGATTCAATGCTTGGCTTAGAAATTGTTTTCAGCATCAAAGGGGAAATTCACAATTGATCCAATACCACCTCCACATCCTCCTCCAGGTGTCCAGCTGTGGCTTCCTAAGATAGTCTGACAACTTCTCCCACATCCCACTGCTATAATGAACTGCTGAGTCAAACAAGGCTCACTGTTCTATTACGCCAGAGTGTGTGATGCTGAGCACATGGGTGAATTCAGCTATGGCTTACAGTTTCCTACCGTAACTTGTTTGCTCAACCACAAGAAGCCCAACTCATGGCTTGGTACAAGATGAGAACCGTTCCAAGCCCTTTTGC